ACCATATCATATCCACCACTAATTCTCTTCCTCTTATTAAATTACTTATCCTTACACACCTTTCTAGTAATTAGTAATTGTAGTCGTATTTTTATTTGTATTTTGAATGCATGCTTAGTTTCTTAGTGTTTGTCGTGCTAATTTTCCTCGAATATTAGTCTTAAGCTAGGTACACACGATGCAATCAATTTGCAGCAAGTTGATTGCTGCAATCAAATTTGCACGTTTGAACACGAGGGCGAAATTGATGAAAAATTAGACAAAAGTGATGATGAAATAAAAACAAAAATTCATCATTTGCGCACTCAATTTTTGCAAGAAGTGCACAGAGTGAAGCAAAAAAAAGTGGCCAGGGTACATCGGACAACTATACCAGCAGTGTCTTGTTAAGTTATGTAGTTTTTTAGATTTTCTAATAAAAAAGGACTCACATGCGAAAAAAATTGTAATAGTTTGTTTAGTCCCCATTTTGTTGCTCTTTTAAAAGGTTCTTTTTCATCTCTTTTGGAAATCCACTCTTTCACCCAACACTTTCTTTTTTTTGCAGACTCTAAACTTCTCACTTTTTTACGTTTTATTAAAGTTGCTAATATAGCAATAGCAGCAACTCTCGACTTTTGTGCCGACATAATTAAACACGTCGTTATTCCTTGACTTTCTCAAAACAACAGAACTTGCAAATGAGTGTTACTTGCAAGCACTGCAAACAAAAAATGAAAACACGTGTAGAGATTAACGCAATATATTGCTGCATCGCCTCTTGGAATATGCAGCCATTGCATATCAACGTTCAAACAAATTATGAGAAAAAAAGCACAACCTCTAAAAACAATTAAAAAAATCGTTTTTAATAATTTTTTCGCGGTCGTAGGTGGTTTTTCTCAACATTCTCTTTCGTGAAAGCCTTCTAATTGGCATTCTATGGCAAACTCGAACAACTTTTCAGAATTGCAAAGTTCAATACAACCAGATGTAAGATACTTAACTAAAGTGAAACACCAAGCGCTACCTTAAAAAAATACTAGTCTTTAAAAATTAAAAAAAAAACGAGGGGGAACGTTGTGAGTTGCTGCGGACACCGCAACTCTACAGTTATACCCGATACTAAGTCAGTATGGTTCTCCTCCGGCAGACGGCGCTAATATTAAACGACACGACAAAGAGTGCGTGCGAGAGAGACAGAAAATCAGTCTGAGCGTGACGTCGGGCGCTCCGTAGCCACTGAAAATTGTTTTTTTTTTCTTTTCGGCTATAAAATTATCCGATCTGATCCAAATTCAGCAACTGGATAGACATGATCATTTTCTATGATTCTGCGTTTTTAGTTTTCTCGAATCTGCAATATTGTGGATGGGGGGGTGGGGCGAAATTCTGAGATATACGTTTTATAGTGAGATCTAACAGAAGTTCGGATACCAAATTTGGTTACTCTAGCCTTAATAGTCTCTGAGATTTGTGGATGCCCCAGATTTTCGTCCCTTGCGGGGGCGGAAGGGGGTGCGGCGAAATTTTGACACAAAACGGTCAAGGTCCGATATCACAGGAGTGTGGATACCAAATTTGGTTGCTCTGGCTCTTATGGGTTCTGAGATCCTTGAACTCATATTTTGCAATTGGCAAAACCGACCATGAAACCTGTGTGTTAGAGTGAGACAGCGAGAAAGAGTGAAATTGTTTTCGTGATTCTGGCTATAATAATTATACGATCTGGTTTAGATTTTTCACTCTGTAAGATATAGTCATCTTCTACGATTCTGCGTTTTTAGTTTTCTCGTATCGTCGAAGTTGTGGATGCCACAGATTTTCGCCCTTTGTGGGGGCGGAAGTGGGCGGGGCAAAGTTTTGAAATATTTTTGTAGCAGTGACATATCACAGAAGTCTGGATCCAAAACATCGTTGCTCTAGCTCTTATAGTCTTTGATCACTAGGCGCTGAAGGGGACGGACAGACGGACAGACAGACATGGCTCAATCGACTCGGCTATTGATGCTGATCAAGAATATATATACTTTATGTGGTCTAAAACGATTCCTTCTGCACGTTACACACATCCACTTTTACCACAAATCTAATATACCCCAATACTCATTTTGAGTATCGGGTATAAAAAAACACATAATTCATTGAAAAATTGTGAAGCCCAAAATCGATCAGAAAAAATAGGATTGGTTCGAAGCTTAAATTAAAAGTTCAACTTTGTTGAATAGTGCTATTTATTGTCGCGCTAGTGTAAATTATTACGCTCTCAATGCATAGACGCATAGAAGCCGACAGTGAAATGTGGACAAGTAGTTTTTTACATTTTATATAGTTTTGTTATGTTTCTCAAAAAATAACTCTTTAAACTAAGTAAATAATATAAAAGACTAACGAAAAACACAAAAAATTCATGCTTGGTTCTCTTAGTAAGTTTAGTGCTAATTTTCCTCGAAAATTAGTCTAACAGCTATCTTTTCTGCATGCTCTGGTTGCTGCTGGTTTCAGACGGGGCCACTTGAAGGTGAAGTAATTGCATCGCCTCTTGTAAGATGCAGGCATTGCAAGTTAACATAAAAAAAAAAATATATTGAAGAGTATAAAAAATTAGTTAAATATTTTGTGGTATCGTTTATCGCAATCGTTTTTCTTAGATCCATTCAAAAAACAATACGTTTCTCCAATCATTTACAGTCAAAGTGTTGAATTTGGACTATTGGCGCCTTGTCTGGAGCATTTTTAGTGTCAAAAGTAGTATTTTTTCTGGCCGATAACCTTTAAATTCCGTCTCTTGAAAGTTTTGGCGTTAATATCGATGCCAGCCGACTGAACAAACTGCCTTGTAATATCTTATGCCATTTTAAACCGATTATCCATGCTCAAGCGTCTAAGAATACGATCCTACTTTGATGGTCCTTTGGGGTGGTGGTCCTTCTTTCTTCCTGAGGCGGGTGGTCGTTTTACCGAACCGTGTTTTTTTAAACTTTCTATAAAATTTTTTAAGGTAGACGTGCTCATACCAAGTATGGTGCTAATAGTGACACCACTAATCTTTTTTGATCCCAATGCCAACATTTTTTACATTTTTATTTTTGTGTGTTAACTTCTTCCTTTTGTATATGATAAAGAGATGTTGGAAAGATAATGAATATATATATAAAACACAAATGTTTATCGACTGACTTATAAGATGTGAAATACTGGACATCGGTTTTTAATTAGATAACATGAGTGTCCACATTTTAACACATCATACTTCTTATTGCTTATATTTCAGTGCTTCGCTCTTTTCTTGGTCAATAAAATGATCATCGAACGCGGAATAGGACGGCTTTTTACAAGAGAGCGCAAAATCTGTTTCGTTTATTTAAAATTTGACACTCAAAATTCGAAGTTCATGGCCAAGGCCTCTAATCATTGTAAATAAACTATCAAACAATGACTATAATCAAAGACTATACAATACCAAGATGTTGCATGAGCGACCAAAAAGCTGTTCTATGGCGGGTCATAACATTAGAACCCAAAAGGCACGAGGGAGCGCGCGGGGTTTCAATTCCCTTTTCGACTGTACTTCGTCTCTACCGCGACCCCGCTGCCCATCGGTTTCGTCTGTTCGGCAATTCTAGACTCTCGAGCCTCAGCACCGTCGAAGCGGTGGTCGCGGATGGAGCGGCACAGTGGGACCTATGGCCGTCTCAGCTTTCTAAATTAGTTAGTGAATATGAGTTCAATAAATATTTGCACACTGAAAAAATTTTAAACTTTAAACTAAAACAATCTTGAAAATTCGATTGGAAAATTCTCTATTAGATGCGTACATTAAATTTATCTAAAGCACTCATACAATTTTTTTACTATTTCGGCTGAGTCCCCACTGTGCCGCGCCAAAGACATCAGCGATCACGCTGCCCTACGGTTTCGGCACGCAGACGATTCATATTATGTTTTTGTATTCTTTCTCTCGAGACACACCGACTCGACGCTGACCGAGGCATTGACGAAGCCGAGTAGCGTAAAAGAGAATTGAAGTAATAGCCCCGCGCGCCCGTACCATGAAGCGTCAAACAAAAATTGAAAAAGAATTTGTTCCTCATGCAACATCTTGGTATTGTATAGTCTTTGCTATAATATACACATCTAACAACGGAGAAAATTTTATTTGTAAATGTGGAGTCAGAGAGTTGCCGAAAAAGCTCGGCACCTTAAAACAATATTAGTGTTGGGTTTATGATTGAGTGAACAAAAAAGAGTTATTTACGTTATTCAGTTAATACGTCGCATCTTAAAGTTTGGTTAGCAATGAATAACAGTAATTAAATACTAAATATGTCTCTAATAATAATAGTAATAATATAACCTTATTTATTAACATTACTCCACCTTTTTTTTTTGTATTCAATCTAGCTATATTTTACGCCAAAATACTTACGAGAGAATGGTTGGCTTTTTACCGCTTTCTATGACTTTTCAACAAAATTTTAAGATTCTGGAGACAAGTTAGAAGCACAAAGTCTATACAATACCAAGATATTCGTATTGTCATGAGAAAGACATAAAAATTGTTATTGTATTCATTTGTATTCATTTGTATTCAATTTGTTGGTTGATTCTGAAACCTGCGGCCGGGGTCAGAGACGAAGAATAGTTGAAAAGATAATTGAAACTCCGGGCGCGCAATCTGTCTTTGGGGTGTCAAGCAAAACCCGCAAAGCTTTTTGTATAGCCACTGGTGTTACTTATCTTACTATTATATTGACTTTGACAGAACCGAGTATTAAAGGGGTATTAAACCGAGTATTATTTTATTAAAATATCAAGGGTAAGCTTGCGTTAAAAAGAACTTTCGAATTGTAAACTTAATTTCAAAAAGAGCTTTACAAATCTCAAGGCCAAAGTAAAAATCTATTTTTTTTTTTGTTCATTTCTACGGTGTACGAACATCCTGTGCGACATCAAAGAAATTCGCATATACAAAGTCAAAAAAATTAAAGATAATTGTATTAATGTATTAATCAACTTACCTGTGATGGTACAGGTAACTCTAAGCAGCAAATTTTTTTTATAGCAGAATATCTGTCATCTCTACTATTTGGGCATATACAGACAATTATTTGCGTTTCCATTACGATATTCCGACGTAAAGCGTCGATAAACTCATTAATACGATCATGATCTAAAGAAATGATCTTTGGTTTAGAAATATTCATTCCGAGCGGTCGACAACACTGTTTCATATTATCCAGTAATGATATAGCGGCTCGTAGATCAGTTTTAAAATGTATTATTATCCAATTGTTTAGGTGAATGGCTTCCAACATTTCATTTTTAACAGCATCTTTGGAAAACTCCGCATTTTGTCCCGCTGTAACAACTTTTTTGCCAAAGTAAATTTGTTCCGAATCCAACTGGCGACCTTTCAGATTGTTTAAATTTCTAAAAAGCGTGAGTCCCCAACGGTCAAGGATTTCTCGTGCCGCTGGAGTATTGGAAACATTATCGTAGAACTTATCGAGTGCTAGTTTCCTTTGATTTGGAGTAACTCTTGTATACGTAGCGATTTCACGCATAAGTTTATTATTGGAACGAATCTCATCACGAAGTCCTGTGAGATAACAGAGTTCAGGAACTAAACGAAATTCGATATTTTCTGTATCCTCTGGGGTTCCTCGAGCCTTTTTTATGCTCAAAAGTAATGGTTGATTAATATCTTTAATGTTTATATTATGATATTTTGTATAATATTGTACATAACTTGTAGGTCCAGTTTTTGTGTGAAATATAGATTGGGGACTTTCATTGAAACAAACTTCGCTTATTTTATAGGTGCGATTATTATATCTTGTTATAACAATATTTCCAATTAATGTTTTTTTAACAAGATCTTGGTAACTGTTTATATTTTTTGTGTATATATCAATTAACATATCCAAAACGGTTCTCTGACAAAGAATTCGATGAGATACGTCACAGCAGAGCATTAATCCTCCCTCCAATTCATCAACAGCTGTTACATATCCCGGCCAAACTTCTAACTTAGCTTGCGGGATAATTTTTGGACGTGAAGGATCGAACTGCTTTCGATCGAATCTAACATAATTTAATGTTTTCATGATTCGATCAAATAAAATGTTGTACAAATGCAAGCAATTCTTGAAAGGCTCCTTTTTTTTAAATAAAATCCGTATCTCTACCTCCGTATCCATGGACTTAGAAACAAAAACAGTCATTTGATTTTCTAACAAAATGGGTAAATACAAGCTTGCACCATCAAAAGTTTTGGTTCCACCGATCTTATCCATATGTTCATTTAAATATTTAATTCTTAAATGAACCGAATCCACAGCGGGGAAAAATCGAACTTCGTATTGATAAACTCCTTTATTTTCGTCAGTTTTTAGTTCAATGTAGTTACATGATAATATAACAGAAGAACCTAAATGAAGAAATATTCCGTTGGTTATTATTGTTTTCAATTTTATACAGACGAATCAATTTACGAAATGCATAGATATTTAAAATTGCGATAATTCGGCCATCTACATTTTCGTTAAATCTGGAATTTTATCAAAAGTTTTATGTTGGTTAGCTGTGTTAGCAGAAACGACTTTTAAAGAAACTTGCATTGAAACGTGATCAGATTTTATTTATTATTATAAGTCGTTGCAAGGGAGGCTTAGAGGTGTTTTCGATTTGTTAAGATGTGAGTAGGAGCAACAGCATAAAAAATATATAAAAGACTAAAGTATCGTTTATTTACTATATTTAGTTCGAAGTACAGTTCAAAATTTATGTTTCAAGAGGTAAAATTAAAAAATAATTTTTCTCGGCTTTAGCTTAACTGCTTCCAAAATCCGTATCGGTTAGGTTTTATACCGATTAGGACTTATCGATGGTAATCGATTTATCGTTAGTGTAAGTGATACCCTGCCCTTTCTATTCGGCCATTCTGTTCATCTTCCTCTGTCCTAGACTATAATATCTCATCGTTCTCAGATAAAAAACGCCATAGCTTAATTTTGTCACTACTCGTTGCGGTGATAATTGGCCCCTCGACTTCAGCCACTTTTCTGACGTCATATGGACCGTTTCACTTTACATTGGATCTAGATACTCGCTGACCAACTTGCAACTTGCGCTCTTGATCGACACCATGTCTCCCACTCTCAGCTCGACGTTTTTTTGTATCGTAATGTGCTTAAAGACCTCTTACTCCTTCTCGATGTTGGCTCTGGTTGTTAAATATCTCATCGTTCTCAGATACAAAACGCCATAGCTTCATTTTGTCACTACTCGTTGCGGTGATATTTGGCCCCTCGACTTCAGGCAATTTTCTGGCGTCATATGGACGTCATATAAACTGCGGAACCGACTCGTTGTTGAGTACCTCCATTAGTCCCCTTTCAGCTTTTCAGTGCATCTTAGTCCCAAACATGACCTGAACAGGACCTTGAACCACTTCGTTAACTCCTGAATTGAGAGCTTTGCGATGCTGACCACACACGTTGTTCACAATTGTTTGACATTTTCCTCGCTGAGAAACTCGCTAAATGCATTGGATGTAAACTCTGCTCCTCATTCGGTAACTATGCGCTTGTGTGTTGTTGTCTCCCAACCTGCTGCTTTGACCTTATAATAATACATGTGACGTTTGGACTCAGCTTCTGTAGTCTTTTTACTCCAATAGTAAACTGGGGGTGAATACTGCCATCAAACTGCTGCAACAAAACAGGTCCGAAAACTAATGTTCGGAGCAGCCTCCGTCAATAGCTCTTATGACACTCAAATAACCTCTCTTTTGACTTTTCTATTATCGCGCCCATCCTATGTACGCTCTCAGTGCATACACGCACACACATTTGTAATTTTCTTATTGCTGATATTCCACTGCTTCGACCTTTTCTTGAATCAGTCCTCTTCGTCGTCGAAAGCGTCTAACACCTAAATCGAAGCTCACGGCCCCGACTTCTAAGAAAAAATACCAAAAAAAAAAAACAACGAAAAATAAACGTTAAATTTAAACGCTAACGGAAAATTTTGTATTTTTAAATGTGGAGTCAGAGTTTTTTAGTGACCCCGACGTGATAGCCGTGGGCTTGTCGAGTGTGAAACGTTCTTCGGGCAGTTAGTTAAATTGAATTCGAAGTTTAACGTAACATTTGCCGATAAGTAGCGAACATTCGCCGTTTGCTTCAGCCGATGCATAGAGTTCTAAGAGTGGTCCGTTAGTTTTCTTCGTCTCCTCTTTCGTCGTTTTCCTCAGACAGCGCTTGTGCATATATTTCTCTCTTCAATTCGAATTCGTTTGAAACACTACTCGGAGTTCACGACCATACCCTTTAGCTTTGTACATAAAAAACAACGAACAATAAAATACAAAATTAAAACATATCAACGGAGATATCTTAAAGCTCGGCAGCTTCTAACAAATATGTGTATTTCGAAATATTCAATATATAAAATACCGATTGATTTACTTTTGAAAACGAAAAATGTAATCTCCCGTTTTCACACAACATAAGACTTTTCCGTTGTTATAACGCAAACATTTTCCCCGCCGAAATGAAAAGTAAAACGAATTTTATACAACAAAACGAATCTTAATTTCAAAAAGAAACATTAACAGGGAAATTTAGCTTGTGCCTTCTTTATAAAAAAATGTTTGTTTATCCAAACCAAATCATAAGTTTGGTTTCTAGCGATGGAGTCTCATTTTAAAACCCTTAAAATTTTGACTGAGTCGCCAACGCGAAAAAGGTTAAAAAATAGTTGCCAAGCTCTAATCCGGTCGTTTTTCTTCCAGTCCCGGGATTACCTGCACCCCAATCTCGATCACCGTCACTAAAAAATTTTGATGCCACGGATAGCGCACTTTCTCTGATAGATTGGTCATTCCTCGACGACTTTCATGAGATCGAACCCGCCACTAACGCATTCAACAGCACTGTTTTTTCCATCTTTCCTACCTTTGTTCCATTAGATTCTCCTCTCAGAAATCTTTCTGGCCCCATTTGGTTCACTCCGCGGCTAATAAAGCTAAGGAATATAAAATATCGTTTATATAAGAAGTTTAAACTGTCTGGCTCGCAGTCAGATTTTTCACAGTATTCAATGGCAAAATCCAAATTTTCCATTTGTAAAGGATATTACTATAACAGGATGCTATAACAGTTATTTCTCTAAATGCAAGCTCAACTTTAAACGAGATCCTAAACATTTCTTTAAGTTTGTTAACTCTAAAAGTAATTCTTCACAATATCGCTCTTCTTTACACTTAAATGGTACTTATGCAGATAACAATTCCGATATTGCTAACCTATTTGCTTAATTTTTTCAACGTTGCTACTCTGCTCTTTCTAATCACATGCCCTTTGTTCTCGCTTCACCTAACGACTATCCTGCCGCGCACTCAAATCCTATCCCTTTAAATTATGATAACCTTCTAACTAATTTAAAATCGTGTGAATTTTCTTTCTCCACTGGTCCAGATTTGGTTCCCAGTGCCGTGCTTAAACTTTGTGCGGATTCACAACCTCTCTTTCGATCTTGGTGATTTTCCCACCGTCTGGAAGGAATCATACATAATTCCTATTCATAAAAAGGGGTCTAAATCTGACGTCTCAAACTACCGTTGTATCTCCAATTTATATGCCATTTGTTAATTTAATAAATAAATTCCTAAAGTCTTCGAAAAATTATTACTTCACAGCTCCAACACTTTTGTAGTTCCCTGTTACTAGAATCACAGCACGGATTTGTAAAACGTCATATGTAACTGCCGGATTTTCAAAGCAATGTGAAACTGACGTAGTTTATACTGATTTTAGTAAAGCTTTCGACTCAGTTAATCACAATCTCCTTATCCACAAACTATATTTTTACTAGGATTTCCGACCAAACTTCTTCTCTGGACTAATGCGTACCTTTGCAATCGTTCTCAGCGTGTGTGCTTCCACTCTTCTCTTTCTAAACTAGTTTTTGTCTCTTCGGGTGTTGACCAAACTTCTTCTCTGGACTAATGCGTACCTTTGCAATCGTTCTCAGCGTGTGTGCTTCCACTTTTCTCTTTCTAAACTAGTTTTTGTCTCTTCGGGTGTGCCGCAAGGTAGCCATCTCGGGCCCTTATTATTAATGATCTTCCCCAAGTTTTAACGAATTCTCGTGTCTTAATGTATGCTGATGATATAGTTATGCTATGTTTTTCCTACAGTAACCCGGTGTCCCCGTTATTTCTTCAATCGGATCCCGACGCTCTCAAGAATTGGTGTATTATTAACGCTCTTCCTCTTAACATTTCCAAATTTAACGTCATGACCTTCCATCGCAAAAAGCCTTACCTTTTTGACTTCACAATTAATAACATTCCTTGGAACGCCTGTACAAAGTTAATGACTTAGGCATTATCTTCGTACCTAACATATTTTTTAATTCTCATATATCCGCTATTTCGAATAAAGCCAAAGGAGTCCTTGGCTTTATCAAAAGATGGTCGAATGACTTTTCTGACCCCTATACCACTAAACTACTCTACGTGCTTGAGTCCGTTCAGAAACAATTCCTTATCTTTACCCTGACTTAATTGGGACCCCTCTTGTCATCTTCCCTCTTTTGAGAGTCGGCTGCGTCTCATTAACTTGCACTCGCTTGAGAGCCGTAGGACTTGTCATGGAATTCTCTTTCTTCACAAACTCGTCCGAGGCGATGTTGAATCCTCGGCCCTCATTAGCCTTATCAGTATTGCTGTCCCATCCCGCCCGACTAGGCATTACTTTCCTCTCTGTCCTTCAAACTACTCTGACCATGAATCTTTCCGTAGCCTACAATGCCGCGACTACAATAAATTGTTCCATATTTTTTCCTTTGATACTTGCGCTCCTAAAGTAAAACCTTCTTTAATGAATAATTTAAGTTAAGTTTCTTCTGCCTTTTATTGTGATAATTTTATAATTTGTACATTCCTATTTTTAAACAGTTTAACTGTACATAGTTGAACTCTAAACAATAAACATTAAACATTCGACGCGGCACGGACAATATAATGTAATCGACTGCTATTCCTACGACACAATTAAAAGAAGCTGCGTTCGGAAGTGAGTGCGAGACGCTTTCAACGACGGCGAGACCGGCGAAATCGGTAACTTTATAATTCTACCGTCATAGTACGTTGGCAATACACGTCATTTACAAGAATACATGTAAGAAAGCTGTGCTGTCTGTATGCTCGCGTCCCCTAGCGCGATAACGAGAGAGCGGATTACTTGAGCGCGAGAGCGGTTGTCACGAGAGCCGTCAAGCGCCCGAGAGAGTACTCAAGAACTCAGTTGTCAGCCGTAGTCATAAAAAGTCGTCTAATCGGTTGTCCGTCGCTAAAGTCGTTAACAAGCAATTATTATTAAAAACCCACCCCAGAACTATTATAAAACTTCAACTCAATAT